CTTCCCAGCCCGCCTGCCCGAAAGAAAACATTTTGCAAGAGGAAATATAGTATTCCGGAGGCTTATCTCACTTGGTGGCAATTGTGGGTGTATAATTGAAAACCGAGTTGATCATTAGAGGTTCACAGAGATGCTGAATAGCCCAGTGTTCGGTGGTCTCTGCCAGCCACGGCCAATTTACATTAAAGGCTTGATTCCTTCTCCAGCCCACTTCTCAGCCCCTGGGAAATCTCCTTGGTGCTTATTCCTCGTTTGCAAGGAAAAGCCTTGCCTGGCTCCGCTGTCGTTGCTGCTCAGGCTGAGCCGGGATGTCCCTCACTGACCGTGGGCATTGGCAGAGGATTCTGCATCAGCCCCAAAATTGTCCAACACTGAGTCAGGCTTGACCCGCCGTTCCCTAAACGATTACTTTTAAATGTAAAATTCCTTCCTTTTTTTTTTTTTTTTTTTTTTCCTTTTTTTTCTTATTTTTTATAGGAGCCAGAGGTGTGGTCTCCCGGGAACTGAAGAGAAAACTGGATTAGGGGCCAAGCAGATACAAAGCGATCGGGGAAATTACACTTGTTTGGGAGCAAAGCGTAAATATTAGAGCGACAATAATAACAATAACTGCCTGCCGGGAGCCACAGAGCTTTAGGGCGGAGGATTAAATGTCATGTGCAAATGTTGTCATCTGTGCTGGCAGAGAGACATCAGTCCGGGAAGAGCCAGCGGTGCCTTCTTCCCTAATTCCCTTGGAACCGGCCTTACCCCCTTTCTCCGCGGTGTTCCTATGACCCTCCGAGCCAAGCAACGCGAACCAAGTTATGGATCGGCATCCCTGCACAATCCCTCGCCCTCCCTCTTCTCTCTCTCATGGCAAAGAAGCGACCGCTGATCATTTTCGCCTGCCCGAGCCGGCCCTTCGGGAATTTGGGAATGCTCCGGGCTCGCTCCGCGGCGGCTCCGCTGCTGATAAAGCTCCGCAAACGGGCTGGGGACAGCGGGGCTGCTCCTCCCCGCGCTGCGGGACCGGAGAGTCCCTGGGACGGGGAGTGCCGGGGGTCCGCCGGGCCCGTGAGCGGCACAAGCGGCCTCGGCCGAGCCGCGGCCCCGGTTCAGCCCCGCGCCGAGCCCCGCCGGAGCCGGAGCCGGGGAACCGGAGCGGGACCCGCGGCCTCTCCTCGGTGCTCCGCCCGGCTCCGGCCGCCGCTGCCCCCGCGCCTGCGGAGCGAAGTTCGGGGGGTTGGAGGCGAGCAGCCCCGGCCGCCCGCCGTGCCCGTGTTTCAAAGATCGCGGAGATATTTTCACACCTCAAACCGCCGCCCCCCTCTCCCCTCCAGCCCCCATCGCCTTGATTTAGCCCTTGGTAATTAATTTGGCATTTCAGAATAGCTACTGGGGTGGATAATGGCCTCATTCATCTCCCCAGCCTAATCTGAACAGAATCTGGAAGAAAAGCTTTCAGAAAGACAGAAACTGCCATTCGGCAACCGCTCAAAAGAACTGTCACTCCAGGGGAATAAATCGCTCCTGATTATTTCAACCCGGGTCTTCTCTGCTTTTCCAGCCGCTGCCGGTCCCGCCGGGGAACGGCCCCCCGAGAGCCGAGGAGGAGAAGAGCCGCTCGGGCTTTCCCCCTCCCTTCTCCGAGCCCGAGCGGTGCAGGGGGAGGTGGGCGAGGAGCAGCGCATTGTTCCCGGCGGGGAGGACGAGCTCCGGCACCCGAAGCCATTTGACTTTTAAAACAGGCTCCGAGCGCCGGGGCCGCCTTTCCCGCTGTCCCCGGTGCGGCTGAAATCAAGCCCGTGCCGGTTCTCCGTCCCGGGGGCTTCTCCCGGCCCAAACGCGGGGGAACGGGGACGCTCCGCTCTGCCCCGGCCCGGCTCGGCCCAGCCCGGCCCGGCCGCGCTCCCGGGCAGGGACCGGGCGAGCGGAGACGAAGCTCCGGTGTGGTCCCAGCCGTGCTTCGTTCCCGGTGCAGGCAGCGGAGATGCTCCGGCGCTGGTACCAGCGGGGCTCCGGCCCCGGCTCTGGTACCGGCGATGTTTCGGCATCTCACCGGGGCTGACTTCGGCAAGGATCCGTCCCCTCCCCAGGCAGGGCAGGGCCGGGGCTGGCTGGTGCTTCATGACAGGAAAATCAAATTCGAGGAGGGGAGCGATCCGTGGAGGGCACGGGCTGGTTCCCGAGCATCCCCCGTTCCACCCGCCCGGCACGGCCCCGGAAGGGCCCGGCAGACTCGGGCCCGGGCCCGGCGAGCTGCGCCTCGGTCCCCGGAGCTGCTTACACGAATTTAATAGCTCGAGGGCGAGGTAATTAGAGGAGAAAGCCTCAGTAAATCACGTTAATGACCGCAAGAGCCATTAAAAACCCCGGGGGTTGTGAAACACCGAATAAATCCAGCGAGAAGGGCAGGCGGGAGGCGAGAGCCGCAGCCCCGGGAAGGCCGGTGGGCAGCGCGGAGCCCCGCGCTCGGCAGCGCCGGGAGGTTGTTAAATTAACACCCTGCTAATGGGATTAGGCAGCACCTCGGCTTTGCGGGGAGTTCCGCGGGGCCAAGCTTTCTGACATTCACCCCAATTTTTGCTGTGAGGCGGTGAAGGACCGTGCGGGCTTTGGGGGGTCACCAGGCGACCTTTAGGAACCCTCGCGGATCCTAAAGGAGCGCTGACATTTCAGCCCTGCCCTGCGCGCTGGGGGCATTCCCTGGCCGTGGTCGGGCCGGCGAGAGGGTCCGGGAGCGCCCGGAGCACCCGGAGCCAGACCCGCATCTTTCCCCGGCAGCGGCACCTGCTGCGCCCGAGCCGTGCCCGGTCCCGTCCCTGCGCCTCCCCGGCACAGCCCGGGCACGGAACCCGCGGCGGCCGCTGGTCCCGGGCACGCGTGGCCGAAGGAAAAGCGCCGGGCGAGCAAAGCGGGGAATGGCAAACGCCGAGCGGAGGCGCTGGTGGAGGCACCTGCAGGGCTCTGAGGGTCCGAACCTGGGGCTCCGGGCTGGGCATTCCCATCCCTGCGGAGAGCCCGCACGGCCGGCGATATCCCGGGGCTTCCCGCAGCCCTGTCCCGGCCTGGCCCCACGGTTCGGGACAGCTTAGCCTAAATTATCCCACTCCCTCCTTGAGGTGCCCTCCCAGAGCTGGATGGGAGCACACACCCCCATCGCAGCTCTGCAAATAGAGCCGCGATCCTTGAGTGGGGTTAAAACTTTCTCCGGGGCTGGGGGATGCCGGGACTGTCCGGAGTGTCCCGGACTGCGGCCGGGTCCCGGTGGCTCGGTGGGAGCAGGGGACCGGACCTCCCCCAGCCCGGGCCGGCTCATCCCCATCCGCGCACTCCCCTCCCCTGCCCCGGCCATGGGGGGCGCCGGCAGCGGCCCGGAGGGGCCCATTCCCGGGGAAGAGTTAACAAATCCCGGGAGCGGCGGGGCTGGGGGGCGGCTGGGGGTCCGGGGGGAGCGATGGGGGCAGGGAGGCTGCGGAGCCCCGCTGCCCTGCAGGGAAGGCGGTTGCATTGCCAAAGACGCCCCGCTGGGCTAGCAGACCCGGGAGCAGATTAATCAGGCACTAATTCAATTTACAACAACCACTTTTATTCAGCTCGGTGGCAAGGAATTCAAAGCGCGGAGAGGGGCGGAGGAGAGGAGGGGGCGGAGGCCGGCCCGGGGCTCGCCGCTGCCCGGGCAGCCCCCGCCGCCTCGGGCCGGGCTCTCCGGGGAGGGGACCGCGCCGCCGTGCCAGGGCCCGGCCGCTTGAGTGACACGGCGTGGGCAGCGCTCCGAGAGAGGGCACCTCCGTTGGAAAAATAAAAGTGCCCTTTTAATCAAAGAGGGAGGGAAGGGGGGCGAGCGGGGCGGCCGGGAGCCGAGGCAGGGAAACGCCGCTCCCGCCCGGGACCGTCTCTCCGGGGTGTCGGTGCCGTCCCCGGGGCTGTCCCCGGCCGGGATCGCAGCGGCAGGAGCGGAGCCCGAGTGGGTCCGGGGGGCAGCGGCCGTCGGGGGCGGCCCCTCGGCACCGGGGGTCCGCCGGTGGGTGGGAAGGGGAGAGCGGGGCTGGGCCACGGCCCGGTGTGGGACAAGTGCCGCCCTTTAACCCCTTCCTCGCCTTAACGGGAGAGCAGACAAACTGCAGAGCGAGGTGGGGGCAGCAAGAGGCGCCGCGCAGCCCCTTGTGCCCCGTCTGTCCGGGCGCTGTGATAGAGACACTGCCCCTCTTCCCCGAGATCTGCCTCCTAAAACCACCTGCCGAATGTCGCCAGGCCGGGCAGTTCCCGTGCTGTTTCCCCCCACTACACTTCCCCGGCACCGGGTTCTCTGTCCCAGGGCTGCGGAAGCCCCCTCGGGGCCGTGTCCTTTCCGATCCAGCTGAGGGGTCGGTCCCTGTCTGGCCCGGAGGGCAGGCGAGGCCAGCAGGGACCAGGTGGGACATGTCCCCGTCCTGATCCCCCCGCTATCCCCACAGGTGGGCGTGGGGCTCCTCCCGGCCGCTTCCCCCCTTCCCGCTCCACGCCCACGAGCATCCCCGGCTGCAGGGTGCGGGGCCCGGCTCCCGTAGCCCCGTCGGGGGCACGGGGTGCGGCGGGAGGACGAGGGTCCTCGCCCGGCTCCTCGGGCGGCCCGGGAGCCCCGCGGCGGAGCTGGCGCCCATCACCGCGGTGTCGAGGCGGGCTCCGTCCCGCTCCCATCCCCCCCGCCCTCCCCGAGGCCTGTGCGCGTCTCTGGCTGAGCCGCCAGTGGATGTCGTTGTTCTGTTCCTTGAGCGCGATGTCACTCCTTTAGCATGACCTCAAACGCGGCGGGGGCTGGGACCGCCAGTCATTCTCCGTGCGAGGGCCGGGGCGGGAGGCAGGCGGGACCCAGCCCCGCCGCCAGCCCCACTTTTGTGGTGCCGCCGCCGTCGCGGTCTCCCCTTTCTCCGCGGGGCTGGCCGCGGGGCGGGCGATGCTCCGGGCTCCCTGAGCCGCCGCACCGCGTCCCCGGCCGAGGTGCCCCGCGGAGCGGCGCGGTCGAGCGGCGGCTCCCCGGTCTGCCCCGTGTCCCCACGCCGCGCGGAGGTCGCGCAGGATGCCGCGGAGGGGAGCGGAGGCGCCGCTGGCCCTGCTGCTGGCGGCGGCGTGGCTGGCGCAGCCCCTGCGCGGCGGCTACCACGGCGTGAACATGTTCGCCGTGCAGACCGCCCAGCCCGACCCCTGCTACGACGAGCACGGGCTGCCCCGCCGCTGCATCCCCGACTTCGTCAACTCGGCCTTCGGGAAGGAGGTGAAGGTGTCCAGCACCTGCGGGAAGCCGCCGTCGCGGTACTGCGTGGTGACGGAGAAGGGCGAGGAGCAGGTCCGCACCTGCCACCTCTGCAACGCCTCCGACCCCAAGCGCGCCCACCCGCCCTCCTTCCTCACCGACCTCAACAACCCGCACAACCTGACCTGCTGGCAGTCCGACAGCTACGTCCAGTACCCCCACAACGTCACCCTCACCCTGTCCCTCGGCAAGAAATTCGAGGTGACCTACGTCAGCCTGCAGTTCTGCTCGCCGCGCCCCGAGTCCATGGCCATCCACAAGTCCATGGACTACGGCAAGACCTGGGTGCCTTTCCAGTTCTACTCCACGCAGTGCCGCAAGATGTACAACAAGCCGAGCCGCGCCGCCATCACGAAGCAGAACGAGCAGGAGGCGGTGTGCACCGACTCGCACACCGACGTGCGGCCCCTCTCCGGCGGCCTCATCGCCTTCAGCACCCTGGACGGCCGCCCCACCGCCCACGACTTCGACAACTCGCCCGTGCTGCAGGACTGGGTGACGGCCACCGACATCAGGGTGACCTTCAGCCGCCTGCACACCTTCGGCGACGAGAGCGAGGACGACTCCGAGCTGGCCCGCGACTCCTACTTCTACGCCGTGTCCGACCTGCAGGTCGGCGGGCGCTGCAAGTGCAACGGGCACGCGTCGCGCTGCGTCCGGGACCGCGACGACAGCCTGGTGTGCGACTGCAAGCACAACACGGCCGGGCCCGAGTGCGACCGCTGCAAGCCCTTCCACTACGACCGGCCCTGGCAGCGAGCGACGGCCCGGGAGGCCAACGAGTGCGTGGGTGAGTCCCGGCCGCGGGCGCGGACACCAGCGCGGGCGGGAGGAGGACGGGGACGGGGCGCGGAGGTCCCGGAGGGAAGGCAGGGGGAGGGCAGAGCGAAGGAGCCGCGAAAGGCACGGGGACATCCAGGGACACGCCGAGCAGCGCGGGGACAGCCAGGGACACGGGGAGCCGTTCGGGGACACGCAGAGACGCGGAGAACGGGATAGAAGGAGGACGCTGAGGTACCGGAGAGCGTAGGGGTGAGGACGGGACACCGAGGGACCTCGGAGCGGGGATGTGAAGGCACCCGGGAGCGCAGGGGATGGGACACTGAGGCGCCCGGCAGCTCAAGGCAGGGGACACTGAGGTACTCGGGAGCCCGCTGGTGACAACACCGAGGGACCTCCAGGTGCAAAACGGCGGGCACGGGGAGCCTGGGACCACCGGGCAGGGCACAGGAATTTGGGGCAGGGGCTACCGAGAGCCGCAGGGGACGGGGACACCGGAGGCACCCGGCGGCGCGGGACGGGGCTAGCGGGGGACTCCGATGGGCAGAGCAACGGGGAGCTCGGAAACGCGAGGCAGGAAAAACCAAGGAGCTCGGGAGAGGGGATAAGGGGCATTCAGGATTCCGGGAAAACGCCGGTCGTGTCCGCAGGAACGCGCAGGGCCCTGGCCCGGGGGGGCCCGCGGCCCGGCTCCGGTCCGGGATCCCGGAGCTCGCCGGCAGCCCCGCTCTCTTCCCGGGACACGGCTCAGCCGCCACGAGCCCGAGAGGCGCCGCGAACGGCGGGACGGGGACCGGGGACCGGGACGGGGACCGGGACGGGCTCTGGCCCCTTCCGGAAGGGAAGGCGGCCGGGAGCAGGGCAGGGAAGCCGGGCAAAGCCTCCAGCTCCCGCCCCTGCATCCTCAGGAGCTGCGGGCGGCCCTGGGAGGCGGCGGCGGGGACTTGAAGGAGCCCCAGGGCCAAAAGAGAAGCGGGCAGCAGCCGGTTCGTTCCATCTCGAGCGAGAAACACGCGCCGTGCTGGCTGTCCCGGGCGGACAGAGTCCCCCTGTGCCTGTGCCGAGGTGGACAAGGGTTAAGGGTCCGGGCAGCTCTTCCCCGGGAGTCCCCGCACATCCCGCCGAGCGTTGCCTCCGATCTTCCACCCCCGCTTCCCAGCGGGATCCCCGCGGGCTGCCGCGCCTCTCCTCGCGGTTTAGGGGGCCGGGGCTCAGCCGTGCGCCCGTGGGGACCCGGCCCGGGTTGGGATGGCCCCGGCTGGGCTCCGCTCCCCGCACCGGGACCCCCCGGCCCCGCGGAGCGCAGCCCCGGCCCCGCCGCCGCCGCCGCCGCCGCCTTGTTTACACGGAAAACACGGCTCCGTCTTCCAAAATATTTGCAGCTCCGACTATAGGAAAAAACCCTCGCCGAGCGGCCAGCCTTGGCCGCCTTTTTTTTTTTTTTTTTTTTTCCTTTTATTTTGTTTTCTTTCCCTTCTTTTCATTTTTTTTATTTTTTTCCTCAAATCACAATCAGATGTGTGCTTTGCGGACAGCGCAATTTCTTCACCGGGGAGGCACGGCCAAGCCGGGTTATCTGGCGGGATAGGGGTCCGGTGGCACCGGGGCACACGCGGCGGCAGCTCCGGGGTCCCGGCGGCCTCGGGGCGATGCTCGGCCCCGCCGCGGAGCCCCCGCTGCCCCGGGACGGGGGAAGCGGCCGGGGGATGCCGCGTCCCGAGGGAGAGCGGCGGTGCCCCGAGGCTGCCGGGCTCGGCTCCGGCTTTGCTTTTCCGCCGTCCCGCGGCTCCCGCGGCCCGGAGCGCTCGGGTTCGGAGCTCCGCGTCTCGCTTACGTCCCAGCGCTGGCTCTTGCCCAGCGGCGGGGCCGGGGGGGCAGGAGGGGTCCGGCTCCCCCAGCCTCAGCCCCGCTCCCTGCCTGCAGGGTCACCGCTATCAGCGATGCCGTGAATTTTGGCGCGGTGACGAGGCGCTAGCGGACCCTCTGTCTACTCTGCAGGACCCCCAGACTCTCCTGAAAACGCTTCTATTCACTTATTGTGCTGGCGCCGTGCTCCTACCATCCTTCTCCCTTCCAGTGTATTTCCAATAAAAGGAAAGCAAGTTCCCAGTTTCCAGTAAAATATGTCACTTTTATGCCAGGCTTTGCATTTCAGACCATGTGCAGTCCTCGCCGCGTCAGACTTCTGCAAACGAAAATCGCTGTTTTTTCCTTTTCCACCGGCTTTGCTGGGAAACGAATGTTTTGCGAGGACGAAGCTACCGTAAAACAATTTTCCGCAGCCCAGTCCGGCTGCTCCTTCCCCGGGGCTGCACCTATCAGCCTGCAAAGCCCCGCGCTGCCCTGCCAAGCCCACACCGCCTGGAATAATCCCCGCAGATAAAGATCACAATAACCCCATTCAGCTCCCACCCACTCGCTCATGACCGTCGGCCCACCCTGGTTTCTCTCCCAAATCCCAGAGAAAGTCAGGCCGGGGGCAGCGCGGCCGCGGAGCCCGGGCAGGGCAGGGGCGAGCGGGCGCTGCTGCCGAGCTCCTCCGGCGCTGCGCGGGGACCGGAGCGGCCGGAGAGCTCCGGGGCATCAGCCAAACCGGCTGAATTTGCATCGAGTAGCGCTGGGAGAAACGGTTGCTTTTTTTTTTTTTTTTTTTTTTTTTTTTCCCCACTGAATTTAATTTTTTTTTTTTAGAAAATCGTTGGGAGCTTTATTTTTATTTTTCTTTTCATCCAAAGAGGAAAAATTATAGAATGTGTCTGCTTTGCTTAAAAATTTGGGTGTTTTTTTGGTAAGGCCATTCCCCCTGCCAAAACTGAATCTTTGTTCCTATTCATGCTTATTTGGGGCTGAAAAAGAAATGCTCTGGAGTTTCTGACAGAAAGTCAAAATTTCCCATGGGAATGCTTTTTGTCAGCCAGATCAGATTTTTCTCTATAGCTCCTTGCGAGATCCCAGCACAGCACGTGGAGAGGACAGGGCTTGTCCCAAGGAGGTGTTCTCCAGGGATCTGCTCCTGCTGAGCTTTTCACAGCTTCAGGTTCCCATCAGCTTTACCTGGCAAGGAACTTATCCACGTAGAGCTTGGCCTTGGGTCCGGCTTTGGCCGGGCGCCTGGAGTGAGAGCTCCAGGGAGGACTCGGCTTGGAGAAGAGCTCGGAGGTCTGTTCTCCATCCTGCCTCTCTCCAGCGCCGCTGGGCTGGCTCTTTGCTCAGCACTGGTGCGGCCCAAGCCCCTTCTCCAGCCCAGCTTGTCCTGATGCAGCTTCCAGCTCCCCCAGGAGAGGAACTGCAGCTGGGAAAGGTCTGAGCTAAAACGCTGTCAGAGCTCAGCTGCTGGTGAGCTCGTGGGGACACAGGAAAACACAGGCGGAGTCTTTGATCAGATTTAACGTCACTAAAATACCACAGGAACCACTCCACAATTTCTGCAGGGCCACGGTGTCATTCAGAGCACCGGGACAAGCAGCCTCCCTTCGCTTTGCACAGAGCACCTCTGCCTCTGCCTGGGATCAAGCAGCGCTGGCCAGGCGCAGGCTGAGTGCCCCGACAGGCACTGGGGGAATCCAGAGCCCATTCCAGAGGCGGCTCTGGAGCCCCCAGCTTTCCCCACGGAGCCAGGAGATGCTCCCACACCTGCACGTGTTCCTGGCGCAGCGCTGGCCGCAGGTGCCGGGCGCCGCTCGGAGTTTGGCCTCCGCGGTGCCTCCGGAGCGTTTAACAAAGCCGGGAGCGAGCGCAGGGGGAGCAAGGAAACACATTGTGCTCCAGATAGGGGATTTGGCACGGGCAGCGCGGGGAGCTGGTGTTGGACAGGCTCCGCTGCGCTGCCGAAAGGTTCCCAGGCTGGGATGTGTCTCATGTCAGAGCAATTTCTGAGCAAGTTCTTATTCAGCGGAAAGGAAACTGCTCCTCGGACGAGGAGCGCACCAGGAACTCTGAGAGAAGCACCCACCAAACTCCCCCAATGAAAAACTTCCTTCCAGTCAAACTCGGGCCTTTACCAGCTCCGTGGTGGTCCAGGGAGGCATTTGCAGGGCAGGGATTGCTAAAATAGCAAAGGGGCCCCTGCACCCTCATCACAGCCAGGCAAATCAGATCCTCCCACACAACCAGCTCCTCTCACTCTGCTCCCTCAGAGGACGGGAGGGATTTCATGCCAGGGAGTTCCTGGTGTGCCTTATTAAAATCAGGTGATCCCTTTCCTTTTTCCTGCATTAATCACCCCACCCCAAAAGCTTTCCCAGTTCCCACCCTGTAACCATTTTCCCCGGGCTGGCACAGTGGGATATTGGGGATGGATATTGGAGAGCCTCAGGAGGTGATCCCTTCCCATTCTCCTTGGCCTCCAAATGGAGGAAGGGCTCAAGCTGGTGGTGGTTTGGCTTTGTCCTACTGGACAGTCCCTGCAGGAGCTGCTTGGGAGCCAGAGCCTCTCTGCAGGGTCCCAGCACCCCGAGCCAGGCAGAGCGGGAGCCGGGCGAGGCCTGGGCTGCAAACATCCATCCCTTCTTGCCTGGAGAAACAGCCACACACCCAGCCTGGGCAGAGGGCTTTGAGCAGGATCCCCAGGCTGCTCCTGCAGGAGCCCCAGGGTCCCACAGAGGGTCCCCTGGGTGTCAGAGCAGGATCCCCACAGTGAAACCTCCTTTGTCCACCCGAGGCAGGTGCTGGTGCCTGGATCTGGCAGCAGAACTCAACTCTGCCTGTGGCTGGATCCAGCCAGGCTTCAGGATTTTGGAGCTGCTCTGTGCTGGTACCTCCTGATGACAACAGGAATGCTCATCATTTCTGATACCCAGGTTTATCTTGGGCCTCAATTTCCTTCATGGGAACAAAGGAAACTGCAGCCGGGGCAGCTCCAGCAGCAGCAGCTGGAGCAGGGCTGGACTCCTCATGGCTCCGTGTCCATCCACGGAGCCGCAGGTCCGTCCTGCCCCGCCGGGTGCAGCTCCCAGGGCTGTGCTGGTGGGGAGGCACACGAGCAGGGGTGACTGTATCGCTGAGCAGATG